TTAAACACACACACGCAAGCAATTATAAACACACAAACATTAAAACACACATTGATGAATGCAGTCTATAAGCTGCCATTCTGTGTGACCTGATGTGTGCAGTGCTCTCTTTGACCGATGCAACCAACTAATGTCAAACAGTCATCAGGATTACTGCAAATGCGTCAAACCTCAAGGTTTCTATCGCCACACAAAATATATTCACCATCTTCATCCTTTTTTCAAAACAAGTGAAGAGCTGATGTGTATCTAACATTCAAGTTCAATCAATAAGGAACAAATATATACAAAAACGCTGATACTCAGGGATTGCATGATCTACAAACACCTGCGCTTTCATGATATCCATTTTATGTTGCTGCAGATTTTTGAATGGGCCATTTATTTGGCAGACACAAGGTGGAAATGCATTGGAAACCATTTATATAGTTTTGAAGCCGCTAAGCTTGTCTGGGTTCGATGCTGCATATAATGAATTTCTCATTGTTTGTGTTAGACAGGGTCGTTGAGGTTAATTGAGTCTTACTTCAAAATTCTGGCATGAAGCCACACGTGCAGTCCTTACTGTAGCCTATATTCATTTTAATTAACATGAAAAAGGAGTCTGCAGCCAGCCTTGCCAAGCCTAATGATGGGAAAACGCAGTGTAAACAACAACAAAGGCTCGCCCTGTTCAACTGCCGCGCGATATTAGCCGACATAGCGTCTAATCGTACAGTGGCTGTCACCGCTGCTCCCTTTCCGTTGCTGATAGATCGGCTACTCGACTGAACCGACTGGAGGGTGAAGATAACCTCCGAAACAAAGCCTTGTGGGTATTGGCTGCTGGAGTATTTGCGAGGCATGTCATGATACCGGCCTCTCACTCCGCCTCACTTTGAAGCACTGAAATAACTCTCTGGATGGTACAGTAAACATACTTTAAGGATGCTTCGCTGATGGCCTTCCCATAGTTCTAAAATAAAAACACATAATTATGTCTTTACACGGATTCATATTGTGAAATCTTCCAGACACTTTGCATCATGAAGTACATCTGCATAAACACACAGCTTTGTTCAGTAAAACAAAGGAAACAAACCAGTGGTGAAGACATCAGGGTTTTATGCAATTTTATTCTTGACAAGTGTTTCAGTAATCCTTCAGTCTTGCTCAGTATATTTGAAACGGTAGGCTGGAAAATGTTATTCAAAGTCCCTACAGCTCAAGCTTACTAACTAGCTTTTCTTTGTCTGATGTGATAGTGAAAAAATAAAGAAAATAATCAGGCCATTTCCCAACAATGTAAATATTTGTTTGTGGGGTAGATATAGTATGTCCATGCAAATGAGCAGTGGCGAACCGTCAGGGCCTTCAAGGTATTCAGAGAATACCCTGGAACACTCAGATAAAACAAACAAAAAATCGATTTAATTATATAAATAAAATGTATATAAAATGAATAAATGAGAATCGTATCTGTGTTGTTGATCTGTAATATTACAGTGTTACGTTGATTTGTTTGTCGTTCTCGGTCCATGCACTACGCATTTCAGTGGGTTTGTGTTAGAAAATAAAGCAACCAATCAGATCTTGTTCTGGGTCTCTGGGTAGAATATCCTTCAACCAAGGTATTCTACATCCTTGATCGAATGCCCTGGCCGTTGCACTGAATGAGAGCGTACGTTTGCACTGACAGTTTGATCAACCAATCATATATTGATTTGTAGCCAATGGGCGTATTCTTTCAGAGTTTCCCTCGGTTCGAGGGTAGAACAGTGCTTCTCAAACTTTTTTCAGTCATGTACCCCCTTTGAAACATTTTCTCAGCCAAGTACCCCCTGACCGACCCCGAAAATGTTTGATCGAAAAAGCCTATACAAATAATTCCAATATAGTGATGTTCCCTCAGTGTGTGATTTATTAACTCCTTTACAACAAACTAAGGATATTTTCATTTTATGCATGAAAGAAAAAAAATGTAAACTGATTTTTCAAAGGAGTTTTTCAACTGAAGTAATATCTGTTTAACAAACCAATGAACAGAATGATATATTATGCAAAACTATAAAATACAATACACCAATTTGACATGTTTATATGAGGTTCTAGGAATATTTTATATAAAATTGTGTTTTCTATTTAACTTATTGTACTAAGATTATTTTTGTAATTAACTTTTTTTTGTTTTTTTCAAATCTCACGTACCCCCTGCAGTACCCCAACGTACCCCTAGGGGTCCGCGTACTCCCATTTGAGAATCACTGCTCTAGAACAGTGTTTTTCAAAGTGGGGGCCCCGACCCCCTGGGGGGCCGCTAGGGGGTGCCAAAGTTTGAGGGAAAGGGGAATTTTTTTTAATTTTTTTTTTTTAGATGTTATTAATAACTGCATATCTATCAATATATGTGTCATTTGATGCCAATCTTTTTTTTTTTTAAATTACATTTATTAATATTTAATTTTTTGTTTTTAAATCACACGACAGCCCTTCAAGCCAATCAGAATCGAGCTGCCGCTTCTGAGAGTGAAACTGAGTATCTGCTCAGCTTTTGGAGCAAGTGAAAGCTAGTGAATATTTCGCTCTGCAGCTGGATGAGAGCACAGATGTATCAAATATTGTTGTTTATATATATTAATATAAATATGTTTATTGTTAATATTACTGTTGAATATTATATATAATATTATTAAGGAATAAGTAGCTTTAAAAAATGTAAAAAATATATGTTAATTGTACATATTACTGTTCAAAATTATATAATATTATAAAGACAGAATATATCTTTAAAAATGCTTTAAAAATATATTTACTGTTGATATTAAGAACGACAGTGTTGACACACAGGATGACATTCATCACTGGAAATCGAACCCAGGATTTCATGTGCACCTTGCAGTAAACCACTATACTACAGGGACACCCTGCTTTCCTAACATTTGATCAGTGTATTTTTAAAGTCTAAAGGTGTATATCTTCCGAGCACATGCTAATATCATGTTTAACTTCCGGCAGTGGCTCAGTCAGTAGGGGCTTGGACTGTGAGCCGTAGGGTCGCCGGTTCAAGTCCCCGACCAGTCCTAAATATGGAGTGTGCACTGCTACTTGGAGAGGTCCCAGTTCACCTCCTGCCCTGCCGTGGTGCCCTTGAGCAAGGAACCCCCTTCCCCCCTCACTCCCACTGCTCCCCGGGGCGCTGTACAATAGCTGCCCACTGCTCCTAGTACTAGACTCCTGGTACTAGGATGGGTTAAAAGCAGAGAACACATATCACTGTGTGTGCTCTGCAAGTGTTTGTTTGTTTGTAGCCTTTATTTAACCAGGTGAAAGCCCCTTGAGATCAAAAGATCTCTTTTTTCAAGGGTGACCTGCAGGACATTAGTTACACATGTAACATAAAAACAACAGAACAACAATAAGGATGACATACAACATAATGTACAGGGTACAGTTTACAAACTCTATTTACAGAGACAGGTACCATGAGTATCAAACCAGCATGTCACCCAGCTGAGTTTTAAAATGATGCAGGGGGAACCAAAGTGCTCAGTTTTAAACATGTTTGCAGACTGTTCCAATTTAGTGGAGCTGCACAACTAAAAGCTTTCTTCCCTAAGACAGTCCTAGCACTTGGCACATTTAATAAAACAACATCATGAGATCTCAGGCAATAAGTACTTTCAATTCGTCGAGAGATCAGAGAGCAGATATAAAAAGGTAGTTTACCCAGCATGGCTTTGTAAATGAACATGTACCAATGACTGAGCCTCCGTACAGTTAGTGAAGGCAGACCTGCCTTGGCATACAGGGTACAGTGATGAGTAAGTGCTTTACAGTTAGTAACAAATCTCAGGGCACTGTGATAGGCGGCATCTAACTTTTCCAGGCAATTGGCAGGTGCATTCATATAGATCAAATCACCATAGTCCAGCACAGGTAAAAAGGTCACAGTGACTAGCCTTTTCCTGGCTTCAAAAGAGAAACAGGACTTGTTTCTGAAAAAGAAACCTAGCCTAACCCTCAGCTTTTTAAGCAGGTTATTGACATGAAGTTTAAAAGTAAGACAATCATCAAGCCAGATACTAAGGTATTTATAACAGGTAACCACTTTGAGTACTTGTCCTTGCATAGTACAGGGCATGACATTAAGGATTTTGGGAGATGGCCCTGTGGGCCATCTAAGCTAATTTACAGATGGCCCTGAGTCCAATAGAGATGGCCCTGAAAAATGCCGGCGGACGAAATGACACACGAAAGGTTTTGGGGACCTGCAGGTCTTAGATGCTGTCTGGTGCATTCTCTAGAATTATAAGATGAACCACCACAATATTATATTGTACAATTTGAATTTTATTCTTAATTTAACTTCTTCTTGTTTGTGTTTGCTGATTCAACGACTGATAGTCTTTCAAGAAAGTGTCAATGTCTGACTCATCTGAGTCGCCAAGAGCTTCAGCCAAGCGCTTCTCGCCAGCAGCCACATTCTCTGCCTCAAGTCCGAGCTCGTCAGATATGGCCTCCTGGCGCACATTCTCCTCCTGCTCGGCTTCCTGATCCATAAGAACCAGGTCTTGATAGAGGTCGTCCCGTATCTCCTGCTCCTGCTCCTTCTGCCACGGGTTGAAGCCAGGGCGACGAGCCCTATTTCCTGAGGTCCACCACTTCTCCACGGCTCCGGCAGCATCAAAGTTGTCCATTGAGGGGCCCTCAATGGAGGAAAACATCAGGCGGCTGAGCTGCTCACAGTACCCAGACAGGAACACCAGTCGTTCTTCACCCTCTTCATGCAGCTGAACCCCCGCTCACACACTGCAGTGTTGACTGCCAGAACAAGGTATATTTCAAACAGTATTGACAGCCCCTTATACTGTTTGCATCTCTCAGTGTCACACAGGATGCCAGAGAAGATCTGTGGCATTCGAAGTGTGCGGGCTGCTGCATAACTCTTGTAGAGGATGAACTCAGGACTTCAGCATTTAGTTGTAACACTGTGCTCGTCCATCAGGGGCTGATAATGCTCACAGATATCAGCAAAGTCTTGTTTGCCATAGGCAGCCAGCTCCTGTCTGTCAAAGGGCCACTGACTGGGGTTGAAGATGGAACATTTTGAAGGGACACTCCCTTTCTGGAGATCTTGGAATCTTTTCTCCAGGTGCTTGATGAGCACATCTGCAAACACATACAAAATGTCAAATTTATAATCCCTGTCTCTGGACCACCATAAAAAATCATTTATATCATAACAAATGTGAAATTATATTCCTGTCTTTGGACCACCATAAAAAAAGTATCTATTAAAACATGTTATGCCCATATTTACTTATGAAGAAAATATTATTGGGCACATACCTATGACTTTCTTCCGGAGAAAGAGAATCTGCCCTTCGTTGACATACTTGAGTTTAGTCCCTCGGAAGAGGCCGGTTTCAGCTGCAGCTCAGTCTTTCTCTTCTTCTTTCCAGGTTGTTCACCTTGCTTTGGTGGACTAAGAAACATTGTAATACACTCTGACTTTAAATTATTTGATCATTATGTATTCAGCATCAGAATCCGTAACAAACTGAAATTCCCGCGAAAATGTGGTTGCATTCGATTCATTGTCCGGGTAGTATTCAGTTGCGCCACTTATGTGACAGACAAGAATAGTCAATTATAATGTCTAACACTTAATGTGGAGAAAGAGATGTCCTGTGTGGGTTGATTGTGCGTTGATCTGTTGGTAATGCCTCAGGGTTCCGGTGGGCATGTAAACAAATGCATAATGCTGCGCTATACTTTGTGGCCTCACCCAGTTGCATAGCGACACTCATTGTTTAGGTGTCTTTTAATAAGCAGGTAGTCATATCATTAGCTAGAACTAGCTGGATCTGATCGATATGAACATAAACGCGAGTGAAGTCTAATCTGACGGGAGAGAGAGTTCAGCTGCTGCTGCTGCTGAGGAGTCGACACGCAGCTCTGCATAATCACATGCAGCGGTGAGCGGACAAAACACACACTTCAAGTTAGAATATCACACGTAGCTATTTTAATTACCTCTCAAACTACCTAAACTAGTTATAGTAGATGTGTTTTAGTTTTACTGTCGGGTCACTCATTACTGGATCCGCGAGCTGCATGATACTGGCATAATAGATTGCCCGATCGGGCAACCAGCAGGTGAGGCTTCATTGCCCGAGCTAAATGCTAGATGGCCCCGGGCCATCCTTAATGTCGAGCCCTGTAGTAACAATATCCAAAGCAGTGTCTGTAGTCTTTTTAGCTTTTGAAAATAGCATTACCTTGGTTTTATCAACATTTAAAAGAAGCTTAAGTTCAGAGAGCTGAGTCTGAATAATGTTAAAAACAGCCTGTAATTTAACACCAGCCTCCTTAATGGAGGGACCTGCACAGTACATCACGGTATCGTCCGCATACAAATGTAAAGTAGCTTCATCCACATTTTCACCTAAACTGTTGATATATATGGAGAACAAAAGTGGGCCTAAAACAGAACCTTGAGGAACACCATTAGCAATGTTTAACCACTCAGAAGACAGCCCATCAAAGTGAACACATTGGGACCTTTCAGAGAGGTAGTTCACAAACCAACCCACTGCATGGCTGGATATGCCGATACTGAGTAGCCTCTGCTTTAAGATGCGATGATCGACGGTATCAAACGCTTTGGAAAGGTCAATAAATAGAGCTGCACAACTCTGCTTATTGTCTAAAATACTCGTAATGTCATTCACCACTTTCATTGTGGCAGTGATGGTGCTGTGTTGCTTTCTGAAGCCTGACTGATGTTTAGACAGGATATCATTTTTACATAAAAACTCCTTTACTTGTTCACTCACTAGGCGTTCGAGCACCTTCGCCAGAACTGACCATTTTGAGATGGGCCTATAGTTATTTAAAATAGTTGCCTCCCCTCCTTTTAGCAAAGGCAAGACATAAGCTGACTTCCATACTTTTGGAATTGCATTTGTGCTGAGGGAGAGGTTAAAAAGAGTAGTGAGAAGAAGAGCAATACAATCTGCAGCTATCTTTAAAAATAAATGTTCTACGTTGTCCGGGCCAGCCGGTTTCTTAGGATCTAGCTTAGATAAGGCTTCATGAACAACATTGACAGTAAAAGGAGTAAAACTGAAAGGGTTTTCCAGACCACATTGTTCAGAGTCACGGATTGGGGTGTTCACAGAAGCAGAGTTAGAAACAGAATCAAATAGAGAACCACAGGACACAAAATGCTCATTAGAGCAATTTAGCATAGTAGCCCTGTCCGATATAGAGCCAGATGCTGTGGGAAGGCACGGAGGTAGCTCATTACGGATCTCACCGGTGGATATCGATTTTATGGCTTTCCAAAATTTCCTAGGATTATTTAGGTTTTCTGTGGTAACTGACAGAGAGTACTTCGACTTTGCACTTTTGACATTTGAAGTGAAGCTATTTCTTAGCTGCCTAAAACGCAGCCATTCTACCTCTGAGCCTGATTGCCTAGCCTTTGCCCAGGCCTTGTTTCTCTCATGAAGGAGACTAGACAGTTCAGCAGAAAACCAAGGATTGTCTCGTCCCTTCACTCTAAATGTACGCAGGGGTGCATGTCTATCAATGATCTCCATAAAACCAAGATACAAATAAGACCATGCAGTTTCTACATCAGCACACAGATCGATTTTCCCCAATCAAACCATTTTGGTGTGACCATTAAAGAGGGTTTCATCCCTCCCAATATTACTTCCCATGATGTTGGATATTTGAGATCAAAGACAATAGAAACAAAATAATAATACCCTCAACCTAAGACATCAACATATCCAAAGCTTGACAATAACTATGCAAATGCTATAACCTCAGAATATGGCAAAAAACATGTCAGTGACAACATTGTGATGACAGCCTGGCTGTAGGTATTGACCTGTGTTACATACGGGGCACGCAGGGTCAAGTGTAATCACAGAGTTTTAGGTGAAATTGAATGAGTCGTTGATTTCGCACCATAGGTTCTTCAATAGAAGTGTTCAAGTGTGATTTTAATTCCCCAGTTCCCTCCTTGACCTTAGAGGTCTAGTTGAACGTCAAGGACCAGTCACTCACGAGCAGAGCGGCAGGATTGTGTTGCAGCGGGAGAATTGTTTTTTTATTTGACAGGCTCATACAAGCATCTTTGTAACCATGACATTCATCATGTTTTTCATAGAAACATCTGTTCACTTAATCTCCAAATATAGACATGTTGAGTTAAAGGTCATGAAAGTGTGGTTGGGTTTTTTATTTTTTTAATACATGGATACAATCTGCTCCACAGTTGTGAGCTATTTATTGAAGATAGATGACGGGGATGATAAAGATGATAACACTAATAAATCAATTGATAAATCAGGTTGGGTCAGGAATCTATTATTACTCTGTGCCTTTCTCATCTATAACCAGTGGCTGAACCCCGCCAGCAGTCATTTCCCATCTCACAGACTGTCTGGATGACTGATCAGGGTTGTGATTGTCTCTCCGCTCCCCAACACCAGTGCTACATACGTCAGCAGCAGCACATACATCTTGAGCAGTCTCTAACTCCAAGCCAGGGCAGTATAGAGCCTGGGTAAATGTTGCAATCAGCGCCAGAATTGGCCCAATTCCTCATAACCTTGTCTACACGTGGCACCTTGCTTTGAATCATAAGAGCGTAAGGCTGCAGCAAGTGTTCAATCTGTCAGCAAAGCAGCTATATTGCCCCAGGCCCCAGTACAGTTGAAGAGGGTAAATCGACATTTAATTATTTGTCTGCCCACAAAAGGCTGCATGGTTATCGTCGAACTGATGTAATGGAGGCGCCATAAACCCTGTCATGGCAGCAATATGTACAAACAGCAGCTGTATGACATTGCATCTTTTTGCGTAAGATATGTGCTCTGCCGGAAAGCGGACCTTTGAACCAAGCTCTTTGAATGTTTTAATGGGAAGACACACAGACATTGCAAAGAAAAACACACATAGGCAATATTTATTCCCAAACATCAAGCTTTTATGCTTTAAATTTTTTTTTTGATTCGTCATTATCTTTTCTTTAAAGAAATCGATGCAGCTCCCTGGTAGTCTGAAAAGTTGACTGTGCCTTTTTGATGAATTAATCATCTTTTCTTTAACAAAGATAAAGCATCACAATCAAAAGGACTTTAAAAAAGACACTTGATTTATAACCACACACTTAGACTTAGAAAGAAGTTCCTATTATTGAACCATTGTCGCGGGAAGATTCGATCTTCAGCATTATGGTGACTGGACTTCTTTATGTTTCTCTTGAACAGAAAAGCAAAATCAATTGTGAGAATGCTTCACATGATTCATTTTTTAGGCTCAATCGAAGTGCAGCAATTTTTTCACATAATTACGAACAATGAAACATTTTGGATTGCACACTTTCTCCAGCCAATCATAGGTGTATAAGCAAGCAGTGAAAGGCGCTGTAGGGACATTGATTGTCCTCTTTCTCCTCTCTCACAATCTTCAAAAACTAAACAAAATGTGCTGATCAATGCTGTCAACTAAGTACACCTCTTGTCAATGTCTCCAGCTTCACAATGGAGACTTGATGTTTCTGGAGCCATTAGTTATGACCAACTTGTTAGACGAGGCATTGATCGCTGGGCGGTTGTAAATGCAACAGCAATCATTTGATAGGGGAAAAACAGAGCTGACAGTGTTGTCATATATAAATGTGTGACCTGCCTAGGAGGTGTCAACTTAAATTATTCTCATATTTACTGAATGTAGACTTGGATGAATTGTTAAATATTAAAACAGTGGTTTTATGTTTTTATAATGGACCTCAGGGTCCTTCTGAGTCACTTTTTCACTCCTGTGTTACTTTTGTCTGGCCTTGCAAAGGTATCCAATAAAGAAGAAAAATGGTTAAACCAAAATGCTTACATTGCTTTTAGATATAATTTATAAGCAAACATTTGGCTCGTGGTCGTTACAGCAGATCTATAGTTTGATCCTTTTGTGGGGACATAACCCGATTGTGAAGTGACCTAACTACTAAAAATAGGGCTGTATATATATATTGGTGATCTGGCCATAAGTGACATATGATGATACAGGGTATTCAATATTAGGTTACTATGAATAGGGGGATTTTCTCAGCATCAACCAGCTATAACAGTAAAGTACTACTCAAACATGATTGCATTGGTGATAATGGTAATATTGTATAACTACTATAACACCTCTGTGACATGTTTGCATGGGCGGACTGGGACTCTGGACCGGCCCACTTCGGTACCGCCGGCCCACCTCGGTACCGCAATTAAATACCACTAGTCAATTGTAAACGGGGGGGGGGCTAGTGACCTATCCGACCGGCCCACTTCAGTATTCGTCCCGAACGTCCCGATGGCCAGTCCGCCACTGCATGTTTGCTTCCTTTAATGTTCAAAAAGGTCTTTATTTTCCTCATACTTCTGTGCTGCAGCACCTCTTTTCACCCTCTGTCTGAAACCAGAGACCAGTCTGCTCTGATTGGTTAGCTAGTCAGCCCTGTAGTGATTGGTCCACCGCTTACAGAAGTAACGACTATCAGGTACAATGTGTTGGGCCGCTAGCCAATAGAGAACCGCAGTGACGTGTCCTAAAACCCGGAACTAAGTTAGCATTTTTACCACGTCCGGTTCCTTCGACAAAAAGCAATGCAATTTCTCCATAGGATTTTGGAAAATAGCTCCAAATAAGGTCTGTGTTTGACACAAATTGAAGAGACGGATCACGTTTTGTTCTACGACATTAAATACATCAGCAGTGACCCCGCTGGTGATTTTTTACGTGCCGATTTGACGACTGGTTGTTAACATGTGGCTGAATAGGACTACAGAAGTTGTCCAGGCCGTTTAACGTCATTACACCGACCACGTAAACACTCCGCTAAGTTTGTTTGCCCTGTTCTGCTTGAAAGCAAGTACCTACCTCCTGCAAACTGTTCAAAGAAACGCTTCAACTTGTACCATTTAGAATCTGTATGTTTGAATTTGGATCTTAAGTTGGCGTGACGTTGAAGCTGTAGTTCGTTTATAGCATAACGTTAGCTTCTGGCGACTAGATTTATGATTAGAAAATTATAAAAGTAGGGTAGACATGTGGATATTATCCGGCTGAACAAAACGTGACCATAGACCTTATTTCGAGCTATTTTCCAAAATCCTATGGAGAAATTGCATTACATTTTTGACGAAGGAACCGGAAGGAGTTTACTTCCGGGTTTTAGGACACTGGATTTTTTAGGACACCGTCACTGCGGTTCTCTATTGAAGCGTGAGTGTTACAGAAGTAAACAAAGGAGTCCAATGGAGGCTTTTAGTGAGGAGTGGAGAGAAACTTCCTCTGCAGCGAACTTTGGGATTTTAGCTTTTGCAGACCATTTACATGCACCAAAAAACAAAGAAAAAAGGAACACCCCAAAAAGAATAATTATTTTGGGTAAAATAAATGTCTGCACAGTATAACATAAATGACGTAAATGTGATCACCATGCAGCACTGATTTGGTCTCCTCTAAAGATCCTCCTACACCCCCTCATAGTGCCAAAGCACATTTCCACTATAGTTCTTGTAATAGCGGTAGACACTGTAACATATGGTACTTCTTACAATGACAAAGTGACACGGAAACAAAGATTTAACGCCAACTGCTGTAAACAACACAATCGGTTCGAATCCAGTTTGCTTCAACAGCTATTGCAAATGTGGAAATCTAAGTGAGATACTCCATCTTGTGCTTCCCGCTCCCTGTGTGTGTGTCACAGTGGAAACTCTGCTGCTCCGGGGTCTGCTCCCTCCAGTTATCAGCGCAGGTGATTGAGAGCACAGACCGCCATCTCTCTATAGAGGGCACCCACAGACCCACAATGTCTTGTTTGCTAGAGCTGTGTACATTTTGTATTTGAAAGAGCAGCAAGTCCATGAATCTCGATAATGCGAGAGCCGGGCCACATAACTCACGTTGATAGTCCTTACATTGTGCCAAGAGGCGATAAATCTGCTCTGGGAGACATGAATATGCAGTGGCAGTCAGTCTGGCTTTTTCTTGCTTGCATGCCCCCTGATGCACAGTTTATTCCTCTCCCCCATTCCAAACAGAAAAATAAAACCAATGAGCCACTGCACTATCTCATCAAGAGTTTTCTATTAAGCACAAAGAAATGTAGCAGCGCATTTTTCAGAATATGCTTAAAGACGACAAATCATAAATGTAAAAAAAGGCATTTTGTAGTGCTGGTTTATTTGGGATATAAAATGTCTACTGTTATTAACATTATTTGTGATGTGAAATAGGTTATATTTTATCAGGAAAAAAATATATATCTATCTTTCTTTCTATAACAACAATGAAATCTGAACTACATTTTTTATGACTCTGCAACTTTCATCTTTCTCAAGTTGATTTCAGTCTTTGATGCTGCTACAAGTTTCAGTTTTTGGCAAAATTCAGAGAAAGAAATGCAATCTGTACCATTAAGGGGTATTTCATTACTTTCAGCTGGGCTTTGCCTCCTCCACTGCAGTGGTGAGGGAGACATAAGCAGAACAACTCTATGCCAATGTAAATGCAACCTGCAGCTTATATTTGACGGCTCTTTGCAAAAGGTATGAAAAATGGACGGCAGATAGGCAGCAGGCAGTTACGGGGGTTTAATGTACTCATCGACACAGACTAAATGTCTCAAATAAGAGCGATAAAAACCTTGCTTTGTCAACGGCCCAATTCTCAGCTGACACTTATTTCCCTCATGCAAATAATTCATCCCATTCAGTGCTGCAGGCAGACTGGGGTTTCCTTCTTTCTAGCTTCAGGCAATGGGGGAAAAAATGCCTTTCCCTATCTCAGTGCAGTAAATAAGAAGAAATAACTGCATTTCTAAGATTTCAGACCACAACAAATATATATCAAAATATATAATGTGAAATAAATAAATATTGCGTGTGTCTTTACAACGACTGGGAAAGTAGATAACCGGGTCATTGTTCCGATCCCTCTCACCTCAATAAAATACTTCTTGGACATAGTTGACAAGTATGCGTAACGACGCTTGCCTCTAGTGGCACCGAGGAAGGAGGATCGTCAGACACACGCAGATGCACGGCTCCTGCACTGCTTTTCCATCCAGCACAAACTGGAAGATTTTTTTTAAATGAACACTGTTTAACAAAGAGCCTTTTGAGCACATTTGGACGTTCTTCAATAACAAGCCTTGTGCCATCGCCGTGCGCAACTGGACAGGGTGTCGCGGAGCGGCTTTTCCACCTTCACAAAGTACCTCTGTGGTAAATGAACACTTTTCATGACTGGATTGCGGGACTGGAGTGATAAGCAGTAAGCAGGTTTTGAATGTCTGAGGTTTGTTCATTTTCCTCAGCACTCATCGTGTGACGCTTTTCTCTGTTTGCCTTTCGGCGACAGAAGCAAAGTTCCGCAGGCGCAGTTATTCTCCTCCTCCACAGCGGTGCGGGAGTCCGGCTCGGCTGTTGCGGTGCTACTTGCCAGTAGACAGATAGCATCGGCGGTAGGTGGGGATACAGAGACTCCTGCAGGCTAATTGTAGCAGCCTGTGTTCGCAGGTTTAATACTGATCCGCCTGTAAAGGACTGGGGGCTTCATCCTCACCGAGCCGCTCTCAGAGTTGTGAGTAACAGAAAGAAAAAACCTGAGAGAATGTTGCACCAAGTACAATGAGCGTAAATTTGTCGCAGACATCAAAATCCATATATGCTCCGTCGAATTCATTTTTGATGAGCAATTCTGAGTCGTCTTTGGAATTTTAAAAAGTGGATCCCGCGACTTTACAACCATGCGAAATACTTGGCTGTCTCCCCGGAGTGCGATTTGGGAATACTGGACATTGCTGATTGCATGTCTCTTTTGGATTCACTACTCTAACGGGATGCCTCATGTTATTCGAATAGGTAAGTTATTCACATTTACATTTGCACACGTTGGCATTATAACATTGAAAGTTGCTCCTTATTCCGCGTATTTCAGTGCGGCTCCTCAGCCGTGCGTCCGCAGCAGCAGCGGGTAGTTTTTGGAGTAAATGGGCAGTCTCTTCCAGTTACCGTTCGCCTCACTCGGGTCGTGTGTGGATCTTCATTTTACTCAAATGAGGGGCAGCAGTAAGCAACAAGAGAGCAGTGCATTATTGCAAACGATCGACTGTAACATTGATGATGTTTTCTCTACTCAGAAACCATGCGATGAAATATTATGGGTTAGTGTGACCTCTATGCACTCTGCTTTGTCTGTTCCATTTTCTGCAACCAGCATGTTGAGTCACCAGCTAAATTCAGGCTCATTGCCATGCCTTCTGGGAGTGAGTTTTAACATTTAAGGACAAGTCTATTCAAGTAAAATATACATTATCAAATTAAGAAGTAGGCCTACATGTAAAAGTTTCAAACAATGTGAGAAATGATTCATTATGAGATATAAGATCTAATCTTAGTGTAGCCTAACTACTAAACAAAATGCACACACTATAGGACAAAAACATTGCACTGTCAAATCCTCCTCCTGATCTTCCACACATGTGAGACATAAAAAAGAAGCAGCAGGGTCTGTGCTGGCGTTTTCCAATCACTCACTGAGGAACAATGTGAGAATTGTCATTTGGAAGCTGGCGATGCAATGAAACATTGTATGCCGCCAAGAGACAGGAGCAGAATGAAGATCAATACGTTTTTTGTCACAAGGCAAATCGTTTGACATTTGGCAGAGTGCCATGCAGGACAATTACTCAAAATGGCATTGGCCCACATTAACATACAACTACAACAGCCGGGTACAGGCAGGGAGCGAGAGCATCTTAATAGCATGGAGCTTTATATCTTTGAGGTATAAACGCTGGGAAAAGTGGATGAATGTTAGTAAATTGCATATTCTATATTTCAGTTCTCTAATGGCATTTCCAAACCAGGTGTCTCTGGTATGGCATGTCTGCAAATGACCAATGTGCCACTCAAATGTTGTAATGAAATTCCTGTCAATCTGGTCATTGAGCTACATTCTTTCAGATTTAAGTTTCAGACTTCAACAGGATGAATTATAGCAACATTTGACAGCTCTTAAACCCGGAGTGAATGCTGTCACATTTTTAGACATCCTAAAAAGAGAGATTCAAAAGCAGAATAACGTGTAAGACTGTAAAACAATGTTTAGTGCTATACCTGAGTGTCGCTGTGATTGACTGCTGCACTCTGAAGAGCCATGACTCCCCTGACATCGCTGTGTATGGACTTTGGTGATGTCTTAGAAATCACATAAATCCTTAAAGCTCTCGTTCTACTGATGTTCACTGTTTGGTCAAAGGGACACATGTTATTCCCTTATTTCTTTCTCCTGTACTGTGGCAGCATCTCAAATGAAGACCTGAAATAGACTTGACAGGCATTGTTTTTAAAAATGTCAAAGTGCTGAGACAAATTTACCTTGAAATGTGCTCCAGTCGCACTACTGCTTTTTATAGAACCTATCATTGGTTGCGTTGCAGGAACAGTTTTCATTGTGTGTGTTCCCAAGATTGTATTTTGACAAGCCGAGAACAGGGACATGCAAGAGAGGGTTGCTGAATTTGCCTCATTGTCAAAAAAAGAAGAACAATCAAAAGGCTCTTTGCTTCATGTGATTTTTTGAAGTCGAGTGTTTATGAACAACGGCCATGTGTGTATCTAATTTACAAAAAAAAATAGGCATCTGTAAAATAACAACAAATATCTAATTTTTAAAAAAAAACTGGCTTTACAAAATGTAACTTGAGGGTGTGCATAACATATAAACACGTGTGTGTATGCAGCCATAGTATTTTCAGTGAGAGGTCGTCAGTATTCACAGTCTGTCGATTCTTGCAGGGATGAGCGCATTTTCGAGTGTGTGTAGTGGACCTTTTTGTCCTCTCTCTTTTTTGTTATTTGATACTTGGTGTGCAAGTGTGTGTGCGCTCCTCTGTGTCACAACCACCCTGCTAAAAACCAACAGAGGGCTCTCTTATAGTCAGAGCATGGTGGCCAACGCCGCTCCTCAGCACTGGTTACTAACACAAACAACAGTCTAAATCCTCAAGGTGGGCGGTGGTATTTCAGCGCTCTGTCTGTGCCGTGTCTGCTCTTGGTTAGGTGGCCTGTGCACTTCTCCAAGTACACCATCTGGGTAATGGTGGGCATCCAAGGTAGAGTTGTTGCCATTGATTTTAGTGCTTTAACAGTGCACTGCTCTAAGTTGCGGCCAGATGGTCGCTCCATCTTGTTCTGCAGCTTCTATTTGTTGGAGGGAATAAAAGACTGCTCCTTCTGCATTTGTCCACTTACACGCTGTGCTACTCGCCAGTTTCTCTCCACCTGCCTTTGGTAATTTTTTTCTGCTCCTGACATGTTTTGCAACCTCTCATCTCATCTAGGAGGCATTTCAGTAGATAATGCATGTTGTTACATTAAAGCTGAAAGTGCTGGAGGAGGATCTTTTATTTCAGATAGAAGAAGCATGTGTCTGCAGATAATGCGTATGTTTGCCAACATGGAATAGGATGCAGTATGGAAATTACTTAAATGTTGCTTTTTGTGCCTTGTTCTGTAATCCTAGGGAGTGACATTTCTTCTGCACAAATCATTCAGCTCGCTGCACCCTCACTGCGAGGGGGACCCAAGTTCCCTGGCTCCAAAATGGTGGAATGAGCTCCCCATTGACATCAGGACAGCAGATAGCTTACACACCTTCTGACGCAGACTGAAAACTCATCTCTTTCGACTCCACTTCGAGCGATAGAACTATTAACAAAGCACTTATATACTAATAAAGGGCTGGCTTATCTAAAGCCAGTTGAGTAGCACTTGAAATGTTTTGGCTCTATGAAACCTGATGCACTTATATGATTCTGTTTTCTTCAAGTTTGTATTTTGTTGGTCGAACGCACTTATTGTAAGTCGCTTTGGATAAAAGTGTCAGCTAAATGCAATGTAATGTAATTCATTTCCATACATGTATAACTTTCTCCTACATCAGATAGGGATTGCCCACTTTTTAAATCAGGTGAAAATGTATTCATAGGGTGCATGTACTGCATATAATATCCCTTTTATTAAAGCACACAATAATGGCAGATTATTAAACATTGTTTCTCTCATCTATGGATGGAAGAAACAAATCCCTCATTTGTTTTCTCTTCTCTCTCTCAGTGAGGTTATTCACTGCCTGACAGAGATTTATTATATAATCAATTACTTTATCTACCTAATACTTAAAGCACTTAATCAGTGCCAGTTAATCAATCTCCCCCATGATTTCATGTTGATTTAATTTCCTTAGCTACTCGCTGTGCCCCTTCAACACCTGGTCGCATGCATTATACATTTAGCCTCCCTAAAATGCTTTGGGCAGCCATGACTGCAGACTTCATTATTGTGTGCGAAACAGCCTGAACATTTAAATGTAAGCTGACAAATGTGCAGCACTTGAAGCTGTATGCTAGGGCTGAACGATTAATCGATTTTAAATCGAAATCGCGATTTGAAATGATGCGATTATCAAATCGCAAAGCCTTTGATTTTTTTAAACATTTTTTTTGTTTTTACAAAAAAAAATGTTGTTCTTCTTGTGTGTCAGTCATCCACACCAATCAGAAGTGCTGTGCTCCACATGTACCAGCCATTGTTAACCAATCAGAAGTGGCCCATGATAGAAGGTGATAGACAGATTGATCCAGTCACCTACCAAGTATTTTTGAAAGTGCCTGGCCCTTTCCAAATGGCTTCCAATGGAGCTTTAGATGGTTTGGTGAAACTAACCATCTGAGTCAGGTTAGTGATGCTCCATCACATGTTTCTATTACAGGGTGAGTCTGAAACTGAAGCTTGACTTTAAAGCAACCCAACGGAAGTGTCATGTAAGTTTAGTTCTTTCACTTGTAGCTCGGGATGCGGGGGTGCGAGAGACGGGAGCACGTTGATGCGACCTTCCTAGCCGGAGATATGGCCGCATTTTACAATAAACTTCCGTTGGGTCGCTTAAAAACAAATATCGCAAATCGAATCGTAATCGCAATATTTGTCAGAAAAATCGCAATTAGATTTGTTCCTAAAATCGTGCAGCCCTACAGTATGCAGTGTGACCACTCATAAGCTTCAGTGGGATGAATCGGGGTTTGTGGTCACCACTTGGGTTGAAGTCTGCAAACACAGAGCCACTTCAGAGGCTTGTCTTTATCCCCGCACCACCAGCAGCAGCAGCAGCAGCAGAGAGACTGGGAAGTTTTCATGTGATTAACTCCACCAGCAAGCTACACTCTCCACTCGTCTGCTCTCTGAGATCCTCCTCGCCGGGTCTGCGCACATGTCTCATCTGAAATGACTCAGACATATTTCAAGAGAGCGCGAAAAGCTGTAATGGTACTTTGCAATTCTACTTTTAACAGACCCAAAGGGCTGCTTGTGTTGAGAATCACCCACAGGAGGATGTTTCTTTTTGCAAAGCGAGGGAAGAGGAGGACATTAAAGAAAAGCAGTTTTTGGTGATAAAAAATAACAATGAAGAGTTGTTGTATCAAAAGTTGTATCAAATTAAGATGGCCATCAGTTGCTGAGCTTCGTAATGAATATTTCATTTTCATCTAAATGTAATCTCTCCCCAGACAGAGGGAGAAGCCTGCTGGTGGAGGCTTGGGGCTGGGGAGTTGTCGTTGTGAATATGAACAAAGGCTGGTAGAGGTCACAGAAGAATTGAATACAGGGAGAAACGTCTTTGAAGTGTAATTCCATTATCTGTTAGCGAAAGCAGAAATTGAAGGGGGAAGAACACAACCGTTGTTTTACCTGCGCTTACACACTCCTCTTCATCCACTTGTGTAAACATCGATGGATAAATGAACTGTAGAAGACAAAGCAGGGGCCTATTTTCTGCCTCTCCTGGTTTTCGGGCATCT